CGACAACCAATCGTCCCTCCGCGAAATTGAAGCCATACAGGCCCTCCAGGACTGGCCGAATGTCATCATTTTGCACGAGTTCTTCTGGAGTGAGGACGAGGACGCTGTTCTGGTCCTTGAGTACCTCCCCGCCGACTTGGGAGATGTGATAAGAGCAGCCAAGAAGAATTGGGAGAATGGATTGTCAGTGGGTGAGATCAAGCGTTGGATGGTTCAGATTCTGTCCGCCGTCGATGCGTGTCATCGGAATTATATCGTCCATCGGGACTTGAAGCCTTCAAATTTGTTGATTTCCGACGATGGGCTTCTAAAACTAGCCGATTTTGGGCAGGTGGATTACCCCCGCACACTACATTTTTCTTTTGTGTGTTTGGTAATTATATTGGTTTGTCTATAATCCTTTTTGGTTTACCAATTACTGAATTTCCTTGTTTTACGTGATAAGTAAAACTTGATTTGGTTTGCCACTTTGCCCTTTTTTGGTGACTGTGTATGCATATTATTAAGTCGCTGGAAATATTGGATGTCTAGCAATGAACACAATGGTATTTAAGGATTGACATAGTTAACCTTGCTTATCACATGCATGCAAATAGATCATATCAAAGGTTAGAATTCGGTAAAAGTATGCAGCTTTTGTCTTCATGGAAATTGCAATAACTTGCTCTAGCTGATATTTTTAATTTGAAAGGAATTTTCTTGATGTCATTTGGTTTAGAAATTGGTTCTTAAAGTATTGATGTATACCTTTCTCATTGCTAATTATCTGGAGGTCTGTCGTAAGATCTATGTATATATCCTATTCACAGAGTGGGATTTACTTGGTCTATTTTCGGAGGGAGGTTTTCAGGTGGGTAAAAATAAAAGGTAAATCAGTTTTCCTTAAAAAGAACTACTCCATGTGTCCATGTGTCCCAATGTCTATGTCTCGTGTGTATAATGAAGCTTGACGGAAGTTGTTTTGAACTTATCTTTTGAATGTTTCTTTTTGTGCTGATAAATACATTTTAAAAACTACTCCGTACATTTTATGCCTAGCCATGCCCATTTGGAAGTTCTGTAAAACCAGAGGTGATTTCCTCATTTCACTTATGGGTATTGACATGAGTTCAAAGCCAGATGTGCACACAAATTTATATGCAAAATCTACTTGCTCAATAACTGTGTCTGTTTATGGTTTGCTTTAATATAGGCTAGGATGCTTCTTCCACCTACTCTTGCTGCTGTTCATGAGGATGCACACCCTCCCAATGGAAGTACTCTAGCCCAAACCAAACCACCTGAATCCATTGCTGTAATTGGGGATACAGATAAGCTCAGGCAAAGATTGGGGGACATTGATAAGGAGTATAGTATGCCGGACGGGAACACATGTTGTTTAGCAACATGTACCAATAGTGACTTAGAAGGAGATTATGATTCTTCAAAGAGTTGTGCGTACATATATGAAGTAGAAGGCGAAGGTGGTGGTGGTGATATAGTAGCTCCCCTCACCTCATGTGTTGGGACTCGGTGGTTTAGAGCACCCGAACTGCTCTATGGTTCCATACAGTATGGGCCAGAGATAGACATGTGGTCGTTGGGTTGCATTTTTGCCGAACTTTTGAGCCTAGAACCACTGTTTCCGGGTACTTCAGACATTGATCAGCTGGGAAGAATTTTCAGCGTTTTGGGAGACTTTTCTGAAGAAGTCTGGCCCGGTTGTGTGCATCTCCCGGATTACAATATAATTTCGTTCAATAAGGTGGAGAAACCGATCGGCCTCGAAGGTTGCCTTGTAAACCGCTCCCCTGACGAGATCCTATTGGTGAAAAAGCTCCTCTGTTATGATCCTGCTGGTAGAGGTACAGCCATGGAACTACTGCTGCATGATAAGTATCTTAACGAAGAACCTTTGCCTGTGGCGGTGTCTGAGCTGAGAGTTCCTCCCAAGTGCAGTGATGATGATGATGATGAAGATCCACTGGGTGATTACAGAGATGGTTTTGACTCGGATTCTGATTTGGACGATTTTGGCCCGGTTAAACTCTCCACAACCAAAAATGGTTTCTCGCTTCAGTTCTCATGAGCTCTAGGGGTTGGTCAGATTGTTAGTTGCTCAAAAGCTTGTTTGTTTCTTCAAAGACGATGACTTGTATATTGTGTATGTGCTTGTCAATAACTTGAAATCATTCCAGATTCTCACTTTCAAATGTTACACAAAACATTAGGGTGTAATTTGGTGGACTGTAATATCATTCCGTGTAACGTAGTCAAATGCGATTATATTTGTAATTTAATTTTAAATTACTCGTTCATTTAGTATAATTACATTTCATCCCTCCCGCTACCAATGTTACAATGTATCCTCAGGTTCTCCTCTTAGATGTTTTTACTTGGACTGAAATTTGATTGTCTAATCTGGTCTGTTTAAGCCTATTCTGGTCTAGTCTGAACTGGTCTGGTATTCTAGTCTGGTAAATGTCTGATTCCTGTGTATTTTATAACTATGGAAGTCTGGTTTGGTCTGATTTGTTTAAGTTTGGTTTGATCAGGTCTGTTAAAGTCTGGTCTGTGATCGAAAACAGTCCAAGTAAAAACATTCTAAGAGGCCGTTTGACAACACTGTTTTTCGGCTTATCAGGTTTATCAGTCGACTTTTTCACCAAACACGTAATTTTTGCTTTCGCGCGTTGAATTGTGTGATAAGCAGAAAAAGTAAGGTTGGAGTTACTTTTCAGGCTTTATTGGCTGAAGTTACTGTACATGACCATTTTAGCTATTTTTACATATAACTTTTTCTTTATTTTAGTAATAAAATATATTTTAAAAATAATTCTCTCTTACATCAACAGAATCAGCCAATGCAGTCACTTCAGCCACAACTTCATAAATTTCAGCAGAATCAACCAAATCAGCCGATTTTCATGCTACCAAACGGGCTCTAAATGTGTTTTCACATAAGATCCGGCTTTTTTCTTCTTCTTTTCTTTTTGCAAAAAGGAAACTTATTTCTAAAGATAAAAGTAATACTACCAAAAATAAAGCAATACAATAGTTCGCGCCTACACTGGGATGTGACATAGAATCACATGGCTTCCAAGGATCAAACAAATTTGCTAATCCCGCAACTATGTAGTTCAATCTAATAGCACGTCTGAACTTACTATTCAAAGGGTAATTAAAAGAAAACAAGTTGCCCAAATTAGAAAAGAAACAAATTAAATCAAGAATCCCGACTTCACCAATATACCAAAAACATTCATATAAACTCATTAACTCTGTAAAAGCATTCAATATACTCAAATTTTCCGAAAACAATCCTTTATTTGAATCCCTTAGACGTGTTTACCCACTATTCAGATACAAAAACTATTTTGACTTGTCTATTATACACACATACATTGGGCGTGTTTGACATTCAGCGTTTAGCGTTTAGCAGATAATGAGTTATGTTAGTGAGTTGTTAATAGCGGATTCAGTCAGCGGGTTTGACTAGCGGAATAAATTGACGGGTTGTTAGAAGGTGTTTGGTAATTTAGCTGTTTGGCTATAAAATTAGTAGAAAACGCCATTTTTCAAAACGTCAACCCAAAACTCTTCTATTACCAGCGTTTTCATTTCAGCGTTTTCGTCCAAAAACGCTAGTGCCGAACCGTTATTTACCAAACATCTTTTTCACTTATTAAAATCGCAGTTTACCAAACACCCCCATTATCAACTTAAAAATGCATACATTTGAACTATAATTTATAGTGACCAAAACTTAACTTTTAAGACAAAACATAACACTTCTTAATTCTTATTGGTTGTTTTTTCTGGTAACTTTTTGACAGAGAAATTGAGACAAAGTTAAAAAAAATTGCTCAAACCAAGACTAAAATATATTCTTCTTCCAAAAATAGGACCATATGTTTGATTTTCTCTAAATAGGACTAATCATTTCATTTTCCCCTAATTAAATAATTAATTGCTCCCTATTTCCATTGCATAACCAAGTCAGTCTGTTGATGGCAGTGGATTCCAGAGGAGGTGGAGAACTCCGACAGCGAGGACAGCAGCGGCAGAGGAAATCTAGCAGACTGGCGGAGCAAATAACAACAACATTCAAGCCTTAATCCCAAAAGATTCTGATAGCGTTCCAGTGATAATCACAAATAAAAAGTTCTATTTTTGGAAGTTTAAACAACTCGGTCTTATATCTGGAAAATGAATGAGTTTTAATGTTATGTGAGGTATTCTCCCATAAAGTTATAGTCTTGGAACTAAAAGTTGTATAAGTTCCATGGAATTAAGAGTTACTCCCTCAAACCCAATTTGTAATACACGTTTCCTAATTACGGTCAACACAAATCACTCTTAATTTCTTACTTTATACACGACATCTGAGAGAAGATGGAGAGAATGAACAAAGTAGAGAGATAAAGTGTGTAGTAGGGTTACAACCTGGACATAGAGTCTATTTATATGAAGGCCACGTGGGCTTACGGAATGCCACGGGCTGGTCTAAAGAATAGCGGGCTAGGCTCAATATAAAAAATACATCATCTTGGGTACCCCGGTCCAGGATAATATATATCCACAATATCAAATTTTTATCAAATTTGATTCCGATTTTTGTGACTATGTAAAGCTTTTATTGTAGTTTCTGAATATGTAATTTTTTTTTTCTAAAAAAAATTTGAGTGCACACAGGGATTCATTTATTTTATCATCAGTCAAACATTGTAAACCGTAGAATGTCTTACGTGGGACAGATGAAGTATATTTTTGTTACGGTAAGTTGTTGCAATCTTAGCCGTCTCTTGAGATTTTTTACTTTGGACTGAAATTTTCTGGTCTGATTTGATCTAGTTTGGTCTGAAATGGCCTGATAAATGTCTGATCTTTGTGTATTTTATAATTATTTAAGTTTGGTCTAATCTGATCTTGTCTAATCTGATCCTGTCTAGTTTGATACTTTGATCAAGTAAAAACATCATTGGTGTGCGTCAGTCTTGTAGAAAAGAAACATGATGAGGCCAAATTGTGATTAAAATTAAGAAGCTGCTGCAGTTGCACATTATTTCCGACTAATAAATTCTGTGCAAAGAAAACGAGATGCAAGTGATGGAATACAGCGTCTTGGAAAATGGAAATCATTACATGCACAGTATTTCAATTTACAACCACCCATAATAACATAACATATCTTTGGCAGCGAGGTAAACCTCTTCAGCGTAAAAACAGCAGTAGCAAGAGCTTGAAGGTAGGTAGCTAGATGGCGTAATAGTTGATACTTCATCTCCATGACCATATCAATCTGAGTTCATTCTTGGGGAAGGAGAGCAATCTCAATCTCTTGCAGTGATTTGCCTTTGGTTTCCATCACATTTCTCTTCACAAAACCAACAGCCATCATGCAGAAGGTACCAAACATGCCATATAATACCTGAGGCCCAACTTTCTCAAGCATGCGCAAAAACAGCAAACCGACTAGAAAATTGAACACCTAATAACAAGGCACAAGCAAGGGTAGACGACCGTTAAACTCATCAGTAAATTTATTTGATAAAGTATGTAGAGGAGAGAAACACCCCATAAGGCCGTACCCGTACAACTTACCCAATGAACCGACATACAAAATGCCATAGCTTTTGCCCTGATCCTGCCAGGAAATATTTCGGGCAGGAGGAGACCCGGTACTGGACCCGCACCAATGGCAAATGTGAAGACAAAACTGCACAACACAAGTTTTGATAAGCCAAACAACAACAGTTTGATACTACTTTGATGGTTTAAACTATGCAAGAGCTTCAAAGTTCAAACATAGTGGAACAAATATCTTCCCGATCAGCTAAATCTTTTGTTTTTTACTAGTTTGAATTTCCATCTTTTTATGCTTCCGTAACAGATTTAACATCAGTCAATGCCACCCATCCAGAACAAAAAAGAATTAAAAAAAACTGAAAGAAATTGCTCACAATAGCATCCCAGCAACAGAAAGGAAGAAAGAAGCATAGCTTGATGCAATTGTAGAGGCAAAAACTTGAAGTCCCATCGATGCAGCCTGAATTGATCACACAGAAGTCACACAATTAAAACTATCAAGGAAGAGTAAAGTTAGGAGTTTATGACCAATTTTTTTTAGGGAGATTTCCCAAAATAGGAGTAAATGGAGCTTGGAATTCCAAAGTAGGACTACTATGTTTTTATTCCCGAAATAGGACTAACATGGCAGTATTTATAGAGCCGTCAAAACGGGCCGAAACCCGCGGGTTGGCCCGTTTCAACCCACTTATAAGTGGGTTAGGGCTATCATTTTCAGGCCCGATTGTTTTGCGGGCTCAGTGGGTCAACCCTAACGGGTTGCGGGTTTAGCGGGTCAACCCGTACGGGTTGCGGGCCAACCCGCGAGCTGAGAACAAATATCATTTATTCTATGTATTTTTAATTCTATTATGAGAAAATAACTTTAAATAATACCAACTATCTTCGATAAATCAATAATAATACGTACTTTAGAAATAACTTTTAATAATACCAACTATCTGGATGTGAACCAAAAATAAAATAGAGATACTTTTCTACAAGAAATTCAATCATTTAAGACATCAAAAACTAAGATCAAATCATCAAATAATTGATATTTGAAAATATGATCACTTATTTGATATTTTGATATTAGTTTTTGATGAATTGAATAAATGAATTTTTGGTGAAAATTTGCTATATATCACTTTTGATAGATAATCAAATAGTTGGTATTATTAAAAATTATTTCTCAAGTTTGTATTATTCTTGGTTCATGGAAGATAATTGGTATTATTTAAAGTTATTTTCCCTTCTATTATTTCTATATAGGACAATTATATCTTCTATTATACTCTCTTTACTTCTAGTTCTTTCCTCACTTTTAATACTAATGTATTTTGTTCATGATATCCATATCAGACTAAATAATTTATTTTTAATGTATTCGTTGCTATACTGTTTTATAACATAAGGACTTCTATGCTGTTTTATTCATGATATCCAAATCAGACTAAATAAATGAGAAATTAGGTATTTGCGTTATTTCAGCTTAACTATACCCACAATAATACATTAAAGCTTTTAAGTATTTAATCATTTAACTTTTTAAGTATACCAGTTACCCACGATGATACATTCAAACATACAACCAAAGGATTTTCAAGCACTAATTTTTTCCTTTTTAATTGTGTTTGGATTTTAATTTAGATATTTAATTGCTATTTCAATTGTGTTGGGATTTTAATTTAGATATTTAATTGTTTTTTGTTTGTTTTGACATTTATGGCCCGCGGGCTGGCCCGCGGGCTGGCCCGCATAACCCGTGGGTTAGGTGGGTCGGGTTAGGGTCATAAAAATTCTGGCCCGATAGTAAGCGGGTTGGCCCGCCCCGACCCGTGAAACTCATAACCCGCCGCGGGTCGGGGCGGGTCGGAGCGGGTTGGCCCGTTTGACAGCTCTAAGTATTTATTGTCATCTTGTAGGCGTGACTGCCAAATAGTTGCAGTACAGTGCATTTAAAATGACAGTATTAATGACAGTATTTTTCAATCGTGACAGTATTCTTCATACAAGTGACTACTCCTATTTCGGGATGAAAAACATAGTAATCCTATTTTGGAATTCCAAACTTCATTTACTCCTATTTAGGGCAATTTTCCTTTTTTTCTAGGGTGCTCTAGTTTGAACTGGTCTTTTAAAGTCTCGCCAAGCCTGGTCTGGCCCGTTTCTCTTTGATCTTATGCGTATTTTATAATTCTCTAATGCACGTCTTGTCTGGTCTGTTTAGGCCTAACCGTCCCCACCATCTATTTTGAGGCTGAAATACGTCCACGTGAACATGTCCTTAATATGTGTTCTTGGAAAAGATAAACTAATGCAAACTAAATGTAGCGTACCATGCCCAAAAAGCTCCAAAGAAGGAGACCTCTCCTTCCTAATCTGTCCATCAAAATCAACGCAACAACTGAGCCTGCAAACAAAACCATGAATATTGAGGAAGAGAGCAAAATAAGAAAAATGGGGGGGGGGGGGGGTAAAGGTTATTTCTTTTATTTGAAGCTAGCCAAGAAAAAAACAATTACCTATTAAGTTTGCAATGCCAATGAAAACATTTGCTAGGTTTGAGGATACTCCAGCATGTCTAAATACAGTTGAAGAGAAATAAAACACAGCATTTATTCCAGATAGCTGTTGTAAAGCAAATAGGGTTGATCCAATAAAAACAACTGCAAAAGAAGCGAGTAAATAACAAGATCTTTGGAAGACTAGAATGTATAATTTGTAGAATGTTAAGAATAAAATATGCAGCGAAAGTGGACAGCTCCAAAAGAAGATGACCTCTGGAATGCCGGCCATAAAAGAGTTCTGAGAGCTGGATGGTATCATGCTCATCCCCTCTATCCAGCTTGGACAGCTCCAACATTGCAGTTCTAACGTGGGAACTTCCTTGTAGCTTTTCGAGCTCAGCTTCAGCTTCTGTGAGTCTACCTTGCTGTACAAGGAGATGCAAAAAATTAATACTGAAACACATGAACGATGCAACATTAAGTTTGTGACTTGATCTAACGGTCTAACCTATGTAAGGATTTACTTTCCTGGTAAACTTGGGGAAAATGATGTTGGTGTTCGGAAGGCTTTTCAAGCCAATCCTATAATGCTGGAATATATTTGTTATGACCTGATACAAGCTTGTTACTGAATCCTTTTCTATATGGGAAATAAGGATGCCTAGATGGCTGAATGACAACATATTACTCTTATTCCTAAGATAAGATGAAGGAGAAGAAGAAGCCTGAACCTCTGTATGATAATAGACCTATCAGTTTATGTAATGTTCTTATCAAGATTATAACCAAGATACCATCCTTGATCCACTAGGCCTAACAAAGTTATGCAGAAGGTTGGTTCTCCTAAGTAGAGTAGATTTACCCCAGGGAGACCTGTAATTGGATATATTTGCTTACATCTGGAATGATGCACCATGGCAGGATATGTGTGAGTGCCATGTTATCTTCAAATTAACATGCAGAAGGCCTCTGATAGGGTGGAATGAGGGGTTCTGCTGGAGGCTGTTATAAAGAATTGGTCTTAATAATGACTTGACTTCTAAGATTGAAAAACACATAGCTGATTAGGGGTTTTACATCATGATAAATGGTTAGTTAACTATATTCATTGTCTCCTCAAGAGCTTTCAGAGGAATTTTACATTGACTGATTGACAGAAGTAAAATATAGCTATTTCTAGAAATAGGAATAGGAAGATTCATCACAACAACAACTTTCAAACCTTATTCCCAAAAGAGTATTTGGTCGGCGAGCATGAAATCAACATATTATATCGGATGCCTAGATGGCTGAATGACAACCAATATAAGATCAGCCCTCCACACTGCATTCTCCCTCCACTTCACGCTCTCCAATGTCACTCTCATATAAACCTAAGTAGTATCATATCATTTTTTAGGCCGCCCCCTCCCTCTCCTCTCACTTGGTCTTCTATACTAAATAAAAAGCTTCAAAATCAGTATTGTGACCATAATACCCTTGCCCTACTACCCACAATCAGTATCCAGGTAGACATAAATGTTGCTGACTAAAATAAAATACATATTGTGACCATAATACCCTTGCCCTACTACCCACAATCAGTATCCAGGTAGACATAAATGTTGCTGACTATCCTAGCTATCTATGTTAGCTGCCAGCATTATTGACTAATAAGTTCTAGTCCGTAAATTACCATGTAAGAGAAAATTAGGTTGGTGTGCTTTCTAAAGCAAGGAATACAGAACTTCTAGTTTACAAATAAAACATAAGTGGACCTATCTTACAGCCCAGAGAAAAGGAAGTATAGGGCTGTTATTCTGATCTTAGTAGGTTGGTACTAAGGGAGTTCAGGAATAAATTGGAACATGTCGAAGAGCTTGAATCACATTATATGGCTTATTTGCAACAGCGCAGAGAAATGGAAGTATATGGCTTATTTGTAATGTAGTGGAAGAAGGTTATATCATCCATACAGGTTTCTTTAAAAGGAAGAGAAGTGAGATCAACAGGAGGTTACTTGGGAAAAACAGAATTAGGTTGGTGAAAAGTCAATACGGATGTTGCTAAGAAAGAGAAGAACTGCTCAGCTATGTGAGGAGTTGTCAGTGATGCCAGTGGTTAACTTATTGGTGGTTTCTGTTTTGGTCTGATTTTTCGTATCAGCATGGGATACCACAAAATCATTGTTGAAAAGAGACGCTGCAGATGCTAATATGTTATTAATCTTTGTAGGTATTAAGGGGATAGTTGGCCTCGGAAGTTGGTCCATGACTTGATGAAGATTAAAAGACTTTAAATCTAAGGAAGAGGTGGTGTTTAGACATGTGATTAGAGAGGGAAATGGTGCTGGATAAGAAATGTTTGGTAGATATAGCGACTAGCGATATACACTACAAAGTTCAATATTTTGTTTTTATAAGAAGGGCTTGCCTTGCTTCCGGTTTAGATGAATATTCAAAAAAAAAGCTTGCTTTGCTTCAGGTTCCATGATTGAATGTGCTTCTGTTTTAGTGTTTTGTCTAATGGAACTCTTCCAATTATCTAATGGAAAACCCAAACATACTTGGATTAGAGAACTGATATGCTTCTTCTTGGGTCGAATGAGTATGGCTTTGGAGGGAGCAAAGTGGAGGGTGCATATGCGTGTCGATGATTGATCTCTTTTCTCTCTTTGACTCTCTTTTTCTTGTATCTTTTATCTTTTATCCTTCTTATGTTCTTATGTTATTTTTATCTTATATTTATCTTTATCTTATTCATTTTATCTTACTTTACCTTTTAATTCTTTTTATCTTTCTTCTCTTTTTCGCTCTGATATCATGGATCGATTCATGTTAGCCAACCCCAAAATCTTTTGGGAATAAGGCTTGGATGTTGTTGTTAATGTATTTTAAAATATGCCTTGGGCGCTGCAACTTTTGAATTTTAAATGTAAGATTGCCCTGCTAAATAGGACATGGTGAAGATTTAGCACAGAAGAATTTGCTTCATACTCCAGCAATAAGCAGAACCACACAAGTTAAAACCATTTCCAGAAGGGTTTTCCCATGTCTAAAATCAAATAAACGAACTACCTTATAAAGCCAATAAGGTGACTCGGCACAAAAGATCATCCCAAATGCCAGCGCTGCAGCTGGAATTACAGATACCCAAAAGCATATACGCCACCTGTGCATATAAGAGTATATGCAAATAAACATATAATGCAGTGTAATAATTAGGTAAGTAATTTCAAACATACTTCAAAGTTGTGAATCTTGTAATTATGCGAAACTCAAGCTATAATTCTTCTCCCTACCAGCCCATTATGCTCTTAACTGGGACCCCAACGACAAAAGCCCCCATTAGTCCAACACATGTTGCTATTTGGATAGAACTCCCAAAAGTACCCCTTACATGAGCAGGGGAGACCTGCAAACTCCACCACATATCTCGATTGGAACGGAAGAAAATCATAGAGTGCATTTTCATTACGCATAAGAATAGTTTATATACCTCTGCTACGTACAGAGAGGCAACAGGTGGACCAACACCTAATCCTATTCCGACCAAAATCCTCCCTAGGAGCATACCTGCTAAGGTTTTAGTTGTTGCACTGGTAGTGCATGTGTTAGTTTGCGCTATACATCAATGCAATAGCAACTATGTGCATCAAGCCGTCAAATATGGGTTGATTGAATCAAGGGTCTGGAGTTTACCATATTAAAGCACCAATAAGCATGGGCAAAGAACACAACTGAAAAGCCCTACGCCGTCCAACCTCATCAGCAATCCATCCACTGAACAGAGATCCCAAAAAAGCACCAGCCAGACAAGTACTCACCACCAGACCTACACTCATGAAAATTTAAATTCATTATCACTTTACATCCACGACTTTCATATTTTTACTTTTGGTGCATGACTATGAATCTCCTGGCACTTTCAGTCTGTCTGGTCACTTATCCGGAAAATCATCATCTGGAAGATTGTACAGAATTTGGTCCGGCTAGTCATTTTAAGGACCAAAGTGGGAAGAAATCCGTAATCATATACCAGTAATGAAAACGGTGAAAGTAAGAGCATAGAAGTTAAAAAGACCAAATAATCATGTGATCAAGATTGGAATATTTTATATTTAATTTAACAGAAAGTTTGAGTGGTTTGGGGGACCTTCTGCGAGCGTATTCCCGTTGAATCCAAGATCAATGGAAATGCTTTCAAGTGGCTCATTAACTACTCTGGAGAAAAGGAAGAAAATAAGAATAAACAATAATGTTCATAAGGCTCAATGGAAATTAGTAAGAAAAAAGAGAGGGGAAAAGAGATTTTAAAACAAACCCAATGTGATAGCCAAACAAGAATGAAACTATTATTGCCACTAGCACATGTGGGCACGAACGTTTCCAGGAGGGAGTTGACATCTCTTCTTGTTCATCACCATTCTCAATGAAACCTTAAAACAAATGCTAAAAACTTTAGGAAGTGCACAAGCGAAAACAATAACAGATGTTAATGCAGATTCTGTACATATGCAATATTTAATGGTTTTAGGTGTCAGATTGAATTGGAGATTTCTATCAATGTTTTGTGTTCAATTTTCAGAATTTCTTAAAGCCTCTTGCTGTGGTAAGATAGTTCAATATATCAGTGTATGGTGACATCCATGAAATGCACCGAGTAGTTACATGATCCTCATAAAGATGCATTATTACAGATTAAAACTAGTTCCAATTTTCAAAACAGTGTGATAAGAAAATGATGAGTGAAAACATATTACCTAAACCATCATGCTTATCAACTTCAACATCATCAGCCTCCATGTAATCCCTCGATGTCATTCTCTTATACATCGATGAGGAAACACGTGAATGCCCAAACATGACACCGCTCCTCTGCCCTTCACAACCAATCAAAGTAGCAAATAACTCGACCACAATGTCACGGTAGAACGAAAATATTTTCAAGGAACAATGAAGCTTACTTTAAGGGCCTGGTTTGTGATAATGGTCCAGATATGTTTATTCCTAACCTATATTGCCATTTAATTCCAATAATACATCCAGATGAAAGTAATGGCGGGAGAATTAGCCTATGATTTTACAGATAATTAAGTTTTAGAATAAATTTGGCTCTCATCTCACAGCCCATAATATGGACCCGCCAACTACATCCTAATACCTTCTACAGTTCTACCTGGGTTATGACGAAACCAGAATGTATGAAATTTCAGTTACCCCCGCCCCACATGATATTGCCTTTTCCCAGAAGCTTCCAAAAGAGCCCAGTTGTTGATATCATTGGTGGAATTAGATGGTCTAATGTTGTGAAGAAGAAAAACAAAATGTACAGAATGTCTTCTGAACTTGAACCCTTTAGGACAAAAGTTTCCATTAAAAGTTAAATATTTCTCCATGCTGTTCTAGTTTCACTATCAGCGTAACTTAAAGCCTGCTTGGTAGCTAAACGAGGCTAATTCTGCTTGGTTTTCTCATCAGCAGAACTAATTAGAATAAGGAAATCAAAACTTTACCAGACGTTTTTCCTTCCCGAAAATTCAGCAAATTCATATCATATCAGGATATAAGAAGAGGAAGGTTCGGCTGCAGGTCATATAGAAGAAAAGAGTTTTATCGTTTGGTTCACGGAATGTAAAATCACCTTAGGTAAGGCCCATAGCGTAATTACCTCAGGGCTCAGGCACAGGCAAGGTAACGCAAGGTTACAAAAAAGTAAGATTACCTATGTAATACATGTAAGATCACTTGATGTTTTTGGTTTTAGAAAATAAAGACGTAACTTTGATAGGTTTAAAAGAAAATACAGTAATATAAGCAGTAGGATTTAAGGGCAGAAATAACTTTGATCAGATTGCCCAATATTAGCTCTTTATGCTGTATGGCAACAGTATGAGAACCCAGTAAAGTTTGAACTTTTCTCTGCAAATCTTATAACTCAAACCATATAACGTGACATAATCTTCCCAACATTCCCAAGGTAGCCTTACATAACTTGAAACGGAATACCCCCCCTTCCCCACAAAGTCAATGCAGTAACTTATATTCACTGCACAGCAAGTTAAATATGCAGTAGATTCTTCATTACTTGAGCTCCAGAGTCCGTAGACATTCAAGTTATTTCAGCAAAAAGAATACAGCTATAGACATATAGCTCCTTTCTTTCATAGCTCAAAACATGTCTGATAAACATTACAAAAAGTCCCTCGCTTTTCCTTCGGAAGTTTTGACATTTAAACCACAAACAGTATAAGAGGCGTGATTCTTGATGAAACAGCACAGGAGGATTGATGAAAGACAAGTACGAATCGATCCTCTGTCCAAAAATTGATGAAACCTTATTGAAACTATTGACAGTTTAGACTTTATTACCTCCTATATGGTCTATGGTTTATGGTTCGATCATCAACGAGCGGAGCACGATTTGCAATCAACGAAGAGAACAGGGAAACGCTTAGTTGAACCGCGAGAGGCCGTCGTATCCTAACGCAACTTGACAGATGATACTCCGCTAAAAATCGGTAAAAATGGAATCTTTGTATATTGTCAGTGAAGGGAAGGGCCGAGAGCGGTGGCCGGGATGCAACTTGAGGTATAGCCCTCTTCTTCTCCTTCTCCTTCTTCTCGTGTTCGCGACAACGACGTATGACTTGCTTGTATATACTCTCACTCAGTATATGTCTAAATTAATTCGCTCACCTTTTCTCCAAGGAATAAAACAAGAAACAATACGGAGTATTATTACAGAGCTAGCCGTTGACCGGTTGATACGTGTTGGAAGAAAAAAAGAGCTAACGTGGCTGACCCATTCGTTTGTCGCGTCTCAGCAAAATATATTCACCCCGGTAAATAAATAAGGAAATAATTCGTCAATTTATTTATACACGGAATAGTGTTTCACTGTTTTGTATGGCGTCCGGTCACAGATGGCCTCCTTCATCCTCAGATTTACGCAACAAGCTCAGCTTCCTGCCTGTCCCTTATCTTATTGTAAGCACACATCTCCCCTGAAACATTTGAAGATATGCTCCTCATATTCCCCTTCGGCCAAACTCGCGCTTGAAGAAGCATACCAAGAAATTCCAAGTGGTAGCGTCAATCATAATGACAGTCGTTCTGGGTTTTCTTATTTCAGTCCTAATGTCCTCAAAGTTGGTAGTGAGCATCCAGCAAATAGTCACGCGGAAGCAAATATTGAGAATAGGGTCACTATTAAAGAAAGGAGGGATTCAAGTCAAATAAAGAGAAGGGCAGAGAGCTCTGCCTTTCCTTGTGCGCAATCCAACAATGGTTCTTCTGGGGGAAATGAAGAGAAATGTAAGGAGACGAAGATGGAGAAAAGGGGAAATAGACCCAGGAAGCGTAAGCTACACTCGCGGGAAGCTATGCTGAGAGTTGGGTTAGGAATGTGCTCAAAGAGAGGGGACGTGTTGAGTGCAATTAGGCTGTATGAGTTGGCAAGAAAGGAAGGAGTGAAATTGGATCAGTATCACTATTCTGTGTTGTTGTATATTTGTTCTTCTGCAGCAGCACCAGCAGCTACAGGTATCCTGCAGTCTGCAAAAAGTGGGAGTGGAGTTGATTTTGAAGCTACAAGCGAATCTTCTTCTCATATGGAAAATAGCACACCTGATAATGGTGCATTGGTATCATTAGATAAAACTGTGGAGAATGAATTTAGCCTTTATGGGTTTCCTTCAAAAGTAACAACAGACAACAATTCTGCTGCTGCTACTTTAGATGAATTGGTTCAGTTGGTAATTACCTGTGCCGAGACTTTTGAGGCAAAAGATGAAAGGGCTCATAAGGAAGGGTATATAGTTGAAGTGAGCCCAGATGTGAAGAGCTTTGCACTTGACAAGGGTTTTGAAATCTTTGAGTTGTCACAATCCGAAAATGTTCCAATGAATGAGGCAATATTCACTTCTGCTGCTAGGCTGTCAATGTCTTTGGGTGACGGTGACATGGCATTCAGTCTGGTGAAGCGAATGAAGGAATTCGGGATTAACCCAAGACTGCGTTCCTACGGTCCAGCTCTTCATTGTTTCTGCAACAGCGGAGATGTTGAGAAAGCATTCATGGTGGAAGCACATATGTTGGAGAGTGGGGTTTGCCCAGAGGAGCCTGAACTAGAAGCACTGTTGAAAGCAAGTGTCGAAGCTGAAAGGAGTGATAAGGTTTACTACGTGTTGCACAAACTTAGGACGAACGTTCGGCAGGTTTCTCCTTCCACCGCACATGTGATTGAGAAGTGGTTTCATAGCAAATGTTCTTCAAGAGTGGGAAAAAGAAAATGGAATCAAGAGCTAGTTCGGCGGGCAATTGAAAATGGAGGTGGAGGGTGGCATGGAATGGGCTGGTTGGGAAATGGGAAATGGACCGTGTCTCGTACTTCTGTCGGGTCTGATGGGTTATGTAAATGTTGTGGTGAACAGTTGGCAACCATTGATCTCGATCCCAAGGAAACTGAGAATTTTGCCCAATCTGTTGCTTCTATTGCTGCACAGAGAGAAAAGAAGTCAAATTTCCAGAAATTTCAAGTATGTAATGTAAATAGTATATTTGTTGCTGCTGTTCTCAATTTCACATATGTGTGAGTCAAAATTAAAAAATGTAATACAGAAATGGCTTGACTACTATGGACCTTTTGAAGCAGTTGTAGATGGAGCAAATGTTGGACTTTTGAACCAAAGAAACTTTAAACCATCCAAGGTAATTGTTTATTTGATTAATAACCCTCTCAGTGAAAATATGGCTTGTGTTTCACCCTTATTGACTAAGTATTCTTAACAAAGTGTCATTCTTTTTTCCTCCAAATGATATTCCATTTAAGGTCAATGCCGTTGCAAATGGAATTCGACAGATGTTTCCTTCTAAAAAGTGGCCTCTTATTATCTTGCATAATAGAAGAGTTAATGGAGATAAGTTGCACAAACCATTTGAAAAAGCACTTATAGAGAAGTGGAGAACAGCTGATGCACTCTATGAAACACCTACTGGTTCAAATGATGATTGGTAAGAACTGGGAACCTTTTCCATACTACCTCTGCTAAAAAACATCTACTTTCGTGAAGGTACACTTTTTTTTCACCAAGACTTTAACTCGTATAGTTCATCAGTTTTACTTATCTTATTTATTGTTTTCATTTATTTTTTCTGTCAAATTTAACTTTCTCAGGACTTTTATTTACTCTTTCCTTTATTTAGGAAGATTACCACAGCATTAACATAAAATTAGTTCGGTTTACTGAAAAGAACTCATTTGGGACAAGTAACGTTTGTGTGGCAGTATCATACTTATAACTCATCTTGAAACGGTTAACCCTTCAGGTACTGGTTATATGCAGCTATAAAGTTCAAATGTTTACTTGTGACAAATGATGAAATGAGAGATCATTTGTTTCAATTACTTGGAAATGACTTTTTCCCTAAGTGGAAAGAGCGACATCAGGTGAGATTTAACGAGTGTTTGATGAGGGTTGATTCACTGGCTCTTGGGAAGCAAGCTTATACTCATTCTGATGAAGGATCTTTTTTATTTTGTCAATGAAAGGTGCATTTTAGTTTCTCTGAAAAAGGCCCACTATTCCAAATGCCTCCCCCATGTTCCGTTGTTATCCAGGTTCGCATTCTAATCCAGTTGATCTATTCTCTTGCACCTAATACCAAACATGTACTATTAGTTTTCAGTTTTAGAATCTAGATACAATATGTTTGGGGTTAATTTTATCTATTAAGTTGCTTGTTTTGTGGAAGTGAATTTTGATTAAAGGTTTTGTGTTTTTGCTTATAGTCACTGAATGAACTGATTGATCTGAATTGTCTATAAATGGATTCATAATGTTTTTCTTCGGTGGATTAAAATAAATAATACCTAAAAGATGGTGATACAAGTTTCATTAATCCTCATTTCAGCAGTTTTATAGAGAATGTAATTTATGTGCTTTACAATTATTATGTTGTTATATACTCTGTAATATTATTATATATTATTATAAGCTGATTTAGCTAATGCAGGTCAGCCGGTAAATAAATTAGTTTTTTGTATTATATATCAATATTTTTATATATAAGTGTGTGTGATTGCTAATGTTGATAATTTGTTACAAAAGAAGCAATACAATCAGTGGCGTTTATCCAGGATATCCTATGAGTGGGGGCAAATTTACACTATGAAAATTGCTATCATACGCATTTCACAACAATAGATTACATTACGAAAACGATATTACAAAATAACTATAAGTAAGAACTTGTATTAAAAAATATTATGACGTATTTTACTTTTTCACTTTGTCAAAAAAAATCTTACATTCCTTTTAAGAAATACATTATACTTTTTATTGTTGATGTAACTTCACCCTCGATCCCAAAATGATTTGCGAAGTCAACTTTTCTTTATTAACACAGTTTCATTCCATTTACTTATTTGTTAACCCTCCGCTTGGATTGTTTAAACTTATTGTGAGTCAACTTTTAAAACTGCATGCAAATTGCAAATCAATTGAGGTTGGAGTAAAAAATATTACTCATATAGTTTGTATTTTCAGATTTTTTTTATTAATAGTCAGTAAATTACATACTAATTGAAAGAAAAGTTTAAGATTAAACCCATACAAAAGTATCCAAAATTAAACAAAGGTTGAGGCTTGGGATAACTTTAAAGAGGTAAAATGAAAGAAACAAAAAGGTGACCTTGTAGGGGTTGAACCTCTCCCGCATTATGGCATTATGCCACAAGCATTATACCATTCAACCAACAACTCATCTCTTTACTAAATTGATATTCGTTCAATATATAATCGATTAATAGCATATGTGTTCATAGATACAAAATATTATATATACATATATAGGGGTTGGGTGGAGGTCGAGAGGGGGGGCGGCTGTAGGCCTGGACTCGGGCCGGGTGGCCCGACCTGGAACCGGCCCGAACCAGAACTGTTCCGGCCCGGTGGCCCGGTCAGTGACCGGTCCGGGTAGGCCCGGCCCGCTGGGGGTCCGGTCCGGGCTCGGGCCCACCAAATCACGAACCGGCCCGGCCGGTTCGGCCCCGGTTCCGGGCCTTTTTAATTTTTTTTTCCAATTTTTTTTTTACTTTTTGGGTTGGGCTGGGTATTTTGGGCCATTTGGGGTGGTTTGGGGGTGAGGGGGAGGGTTGGGGGTTAACTAGGAAAAGAGAAAAAAAATAACTAAGGCCCGGCCCGACCCGGAACCGGGGATTACCTGGGCCGGTTCCGGGGCCCCCATTCCTGAACCGGAGGCCCGACCAGGCCTAGGCCCGGCCCGGGCCCGAACCGGCCCAAGTCCACCCCTAGGCGGCTGCCCCACTGCCCCCACTGTTTAGTTTTAAGTTAACAAGGTAATTATAAGTATCAGACTTCTGTGTGGACAGGAGTCAGAAAAAGGTCACTGGCACATTCCAACTGTGTTAGAACTTGGATTTGAAGAGGAAAGAACCTGGTTGTGTGTTACACGAACTAGCGCACTTGAAGCAAAGAAAAATTCTCATATTCTATCCAGAGGTATTGGTTTATAAAATGATAACATTATTTTTATATGCATTTATTTTCATCTGGACTTGTCAATAGATTTGTTTCGATTATTATTCTTAAAAAACATGTTTCCCACATAACTGGCCGGTTTAACTAACGAGTATTCGCCAGAATCTAACGTTCGTAGCCGTAAGGAGAAAGATGTGGTCAATTCAAGTACTCACAAGAAAACTCAAGCAGAAGTGACACGAACAAAGCGTGGAGAAAATGACATTAATCAAGAAGAAGAGTCTTACTTCAAACTAGAAAGTGTTCTTCAAACATCAGTATCTCCTCAGAAGCATCATAGCAAGATTCTTCAGGAACTTTATACTGCAGAGATGCTTGGCAATTGCATAGTTGATTTCCAAATTTAAGCGCGAGGAATTTAGTGTCAGGTTTTGTTTGGTGGTTGAGTTGAGAAGAAAATGTGAGCAACCCCTTTTAGTTTTGAATTGAACTCGTGATGGGTGATCACATGCTTTATGGGAATTGAACAATATTCTTCATTTTGTGCTCTACTCATTTAGTCACATAAATTCTTGTTTTTTCAGTGAAATAAACTTTATTTGGGACGGCAGGGTTATGATAGACTCGAACAAGTAAAGAATAGAAGAAAACATTGGTATTACTATTAAAGGGTGTGAAGAGTTTACAACCATTTATCCCTTCCAATTTTTCAAACACTCACTATCTCATCATATAAATAGGAGTTGTAGTGGTACGTTTTAGTGAATTTATAAGAATAAGAATACCAAGAATTAATCATGGACAACTTAAGTGTCACTTTTGGACATTATTACCCGACAAGCATACCTCGTTATATAAGAATCTAGCAGAAAAAATCAAGGAAAAAGGTTACATTGTTGTAGGGAAGTGAGGTGTGTTTCATTTCATTAGTAAGCCCCATTTAAATAGGAGGGATTAGGGTTTTACAAGGTATGAGGTTTTACAAGGTATGGGCTAATGGGCCAATTAGCTCAATACATATAAACCTTAGATACACTTTCTATCTATAATGAATGCACAGTAAAGTAATTTTCTTCAATACTCACCTTTGTGTTGAGTTGTAGATAGAACGATGCACACCAAGCTTGTTGTCGTGTAGGAACTTCGTCAAGTAACAAAAACCTTGTGTGAAAAAATAACTTTGACAGAAAGAAAGCACTATGCAAATTGTGTTAGACTTTGTTCATTGAGTCTTTTGTTGGATCCTTACTTTGATGAATGTGTACCGTCACCTCACTAAAAACCTTACCAAGTAACAAAATCCAGTGGAAAAAATAAACTTTGGTTTAGGGAAAAGAGTGTAACGTAGTAGTGTGTAGATGTAAGACTCCCCCTAAAGTCTACACCTCCCCCTGATATTTACATTAATCAGGGAAGTTCAGAAAGCTTTCGCATTCCTATGTTCTTTACATGTTTTTCAAAAGTGGCTTTGGGTAATGACTTGGTAAACAAGTTTGTTCCGTTTTCTTCCGAGCTTATTTGATTCACTTGAATCTTGAGAAAAGCCTATTGTTTCTAATTGTAGAAAAACTTGGGAGATATGTGTTTTGTGTGATCACCCTTGATGTATCCCAACTTCATTTGTTCAATACAAGCTGCATTATCTTCATAAATGCAAGTAGGCCCTTCAGTGGGAGATTTTAAACCACTAGTTCCTCGAATATGTCTTAATCATGTACACTCACGAACTGCCTCGTGTTGAGCGATAATCTAAGAGTGGTTCGAGGAGGTAGCCACAAGGGTTTGTTTAGTTGATCTCCAAGATATTGTCGTGTTCCCAACTGTGAAAACATAACCAGTTTGAGAGCGGCCATTGTGAGGGTCAGAGAGATACCCCGCATTATCAAAACCTACCAAGACATCATTTGAAGTTTTCATACAAGGGGTGATCTTTTTGTCTGGTGTTTTCTTTAATTTGTAACCACAACTTCATCGGTGGTTTCCTTTGTATCTTTGTAAGGAAAGAACAATCCCAAGTCACTGGTTCATTTTAGATACCGAAAAATATTTTTGATACCATTTCAGTGACGCTGCGTTGGCACGGAGTTAAACCTAGCTAACAAGTTCACTGAGAATGTTATATCTGGTCGAGTGCATTGTGCTAAGTACACTAATGCGCCTATTGCACTAAGGTAAGGAATTTCAGCTTCTGGTGCTTCTTCGTCATCTTCATTTGGACGAAACGAGTCCTTTTAGGGATCTAAAATTCGACCAACCATGGGAGTGCTAGCAAGGTGCGCTTTATCCATATTAAATTGCATGATCATCTTTTGGATATACACATACTGGTGGATTAATACTCCACACACTCGATGTTCTAGCTCAAGGCCTAGACAAAATCGAGTTTTCCCAAGATCTTTATGATTAGACAGTGATAATCACAATAGTTACCTATATTTTATATAGGTCATTATGATTATATGTACAAATATTCAAAGACGAAACAGATAAAAAATCCCAATTTAAGCAAAACTGCACAAAGGCGTGAAAGATGAAGAAACAGGAGTCAACAGTCAAAAGGGGCCAAGAACCGACACTTCGGGGTCAACTGCGGGCGTAAAACAGAGCGAAAAATGAAGTATTGCATTGCAGGGGAAAATCGGCGCCGGTCCACCCTTAAAACCGGCGCCGGTTGTATTTAATTTGGGAATTTCCCGGTTCGCCGAGAGAAAACCGGCACCGGTCCACTCCTATAACCGGCGCTGGTTATGCTGTTTTTCTACATTCTTCCTGCGCCGAAGTAAAACCGGCGTCGGTCAGGCCTAAAACTGGCGCCGGTTACGCCCGAATCTGTACAAAACACAAAGACGTGCAACAATATTTTGATGGAAAAACCTCACCTTCCTCATGATCTGATCAAATATATCTTCCATGCCTGATTGTTGGGCTCAAATAGACTAAAAGATGTCAATATTTAGCCTATGTAAAGCTCTCAATTCATCAAACAAGAATCATGCCACCCTTGAAGCTTAAATTTCAGTTTTTATATTTTATTTTTGCATTCTCTTGAAGTGTTGGAGAAGAAGCATTTCTCTCCTCTACAATTGGTTCTAGGTATTACTAGTTTTTAACCCGTGCGTTGCACGGGATAATAAAATTATTACAAAAATTCAAAGCCTATGTGGTAAAATCCAAATCGACTTTTTTGACTAATTCTGCTGAAATGTATGAAGTTTTAGTTGAAGTAGCTGTATTGGTTGATTCTGTTGATTTATGAAAAAATTAAATTTAAAATACTGATAGTATATTGTATTATGGGAATATAACTTCAATCAATACCAACAATCTTCCATGAACCAAAAATAATACGAAGTTTAGAAACAACTTTTAACAATACCAACTATTTGAATATATATCAAAAGTGATATGTGGCAAATTTTCACTAAAAAGCATTCATTTAACTCATCAAAGACCAATACCAAAATATCAAATAAGTGACTATATTTCCCAATATCAATTATTTGATGATTTGATATAATTTTGTGATGTCTTAAATGGTTGAGTTTCTTGTAGAACAATGACTATTTTATTTGTGGCTTACCTTCAGATAGTTGATATTATTAAAAGTTATTTCTAAAATATGTATTAGTCTTGATTCATGAAAGATAGTTAGTATTATTTAAAAAAAATCTCTTTTTTATTAAAATAAACAAAAAACTATACTCCTTATGTCCCTTAAAACTTTATCATCTTTCCATTTTTTGTCTCATTAACTTTGCTACTTTCTTTTTAAATAAACAATTTGTGGTTTCAGTTAATTCTCTCCTATCCGCATAAACTTCAACTACACAGTTTTTACTTTATTGGTTCCCTTAAAACAAAGTTTTAAAGGACACGGGGAGTAGAAAAATAGCTAAAATGATTTTTTTAGAGTAAGTTTGGCCAATATATAATTTCAAACTTACTTTTTCTTATTATTACACAATTCAACGCGTGAAATAAAAAAAATGTGTAGTGAAAAACGGACTGATAAACCTGATAAGCCAAAAATCAGAGTCATCAAACGGGCTCTCAGACTCTTAGATTATCTAATAAGTTATTAAATTTTGTCAAATTAGCTTGAGATAATAAATCCAAGAATAATACAATACAATTTGGTTACTGATATTATTATTATTATTATTATTATTATTATTATTATCATCATTATTATTATCATTATTATTATTAGTATTATTAGTATTATTATTATTACTACTATTATTATTATGTGATGCATGAAATCAAAATTTCACACTTTTAATGGACATAATTTAAAGGAGCATATCATGTTGTTTAATTTGTTAATCCAACACGGAAGCATGTAATAAAGAGAAGTGATTATGAATCATTATCACAATACAATACAATATTTTCTTAAGCATATAGAAACATTTAAGTTTAGCCATTGTTTTTTTTTAAGAAGACTACTTAATTATCATTAATCAGATTGAAGCACAAATCATTCACAATACAGCTTGGGGAGAAGATAACCAAACACAGCTATGACATAGAAGCAGCCACTTTTGCTAACACATGCACAACTATTTTCGCTGGCCGCCTAACCCAATTCAAAACAATGTTAGAAAAAACCAAGCTAACTTTCCTAATGTCCTCAGCGATGATGCCTTTCAAAGATAGACTTGATCCATTTAAAATCTCCGAAATACCTAATAAAGAGTCTAATTGAACCTCAATGAAATTGCAATTATTATTTTTCAACCAACTCAAAGCTTCACAGATGCCTAGAAGTTCAGCCTCTGTAAGATCACACTTGCCATCCCAAGACCTTGCTCTCCCTGCCAGAAACTCTACCGCATCATCTCTAAGAATCCAGCCTAGTCCATAACGGTTGCCACCAGTAGAAACATCCACGTTCACCTTCTTCCACCCTCTGGTCGGTGCCTCCAGCGCTGGTCCAGCGCGAGACTCCCACCTGCATTTGAGTCACAGTGCTAACATTCTGAAATTTAGCATGAACCCAGCTGGCCGCAAAAGCTTTCGCATTACATACATGAATTGAGCTGGCTCAAACGATACCCTTTATAGTAAAAAAAAAAAAAAAAAAAAACCGTTGCAGCCAATCCAAAAAACTGCTTCTGCCTGGCCTAACTGCTGCCAACCTATAGAAAACCACGCTTGAATTGCCACCGGGCCTTGAACAAAGAAATGGAGAAAAAATTCCTCCTGCGCCCCGCATAAACTGCACTTCTCTGCACAATGAACTTTTATCTGCCGCAAAGACGCAGTCATTAGAAGGCATCCGGTGCAAATTTGCCAGAAAAGCATATTCATTTTGGGGGGTAGTTTCCATTTCCACATGTCCGTCCAGCTCGCCCAATCGCTGCCACTTTTTACAATACCATTGTGTTCAAACATCCAACCCCTAACAACTTATTTCTCTTGGTTGGGGTTACTTTATATCCATGTTCGCATTGCATCAATGTTTATTTGCTTGAAGCCTTGAACTCACATACATTTTTCTTCCAGTTCAGCTACTTCTCCCCTTGTTGATGCTGTGACTTTATCTAATCAACATTTATGCTTGTGGTGTGCAAAAATAAGCTCACACCAGCTCTAAACTTCAACATCATATTTGAAACATCTCATTCTTCCATTTAGTGGTTATGAATGAACCGATAATATGATATTTTACCAGATTAAAATGAAGGGCAATGCCATGGCACTTTAATACAGAAAATGACCCTCATCTGGCATGTACATCTTATAATAGCAACGAATGTGCTTCACAGAACAACTCCAAACAAAAAAAAGTAAACAAACTTGTTACCGACTATTTCCAAATGACACAAACTTTTCTATTGTTCATGTTAAGTTGCAATATGTTTAAGACCAAAATGATTTGTAAAGAAACCTTTAAAATGAATGGATTTAATGAGATGTTACACTTTGAACACGATCCCATTAAAAATTAATGTAAAAATTATCAGCATAAAAGGTAGAACTAATCCAGATATCACCATAAGAAAGGTAAAACTAATCCCTCAACTAATCTATACAGAGATACCACAAAAACAACTTTAGGAATCATTCTTGGGGACTAAAATAGGTATGAAGTTCAATTTTACAATTCATGCTCTGTACACCAAAGATATATACTATGCCTGTAATACTTAGAGTATCCATTGAATGAGGGCAAATACCCCTTTCTATAAATAAGATGTTCAAGCTATCTTTCGCTCATATTGAGAATTCCAATCTAAAAGATGTAAGAAAGACATTACTAAACATGAGTTATAAAAAATAGTGGACGCTAATCCGCCATACTTTGTACATAACCTTATAAAGACATTAGTATAAATAGATGATGATTTTCACCTTTCTGCTATGGAAATGAAGAATGATCATTTATGATTTCCCTGAAAAGCATGGTCGTTTATGTACGTAAGTAAGACCACACTTGTACTCCTTCCGAAACATAACAAACAAACTTTAAGAGGAACAACTCATAGCATAAGCTTAATTATAAACCAATAATTAACCCAGAAGATTTAAAGCAACGGTTGATGCTCAATCCTAGAGACAATATAAAAGATTTAGAATATTTGCACACTAAATTAATGATTAGAGGGCGGAAAGGGTAAAATAAGTTGATCTGATCTAAAGGGGTAGGGGAGGAGGGGTTTAGGCTTTAGGTGCCTAAAAGTGGATTATTAATGTTGATAGGTAGGGGTGATTGAATTAATCAAAACGGGCAATGGATATTGTTGAGTTTAATCCAACACGATATAATAAATATATGTATGAACACTCAGTTTTTACGTGGAAACCCGAAAGGGAGAAAACCACGGGACTTTTTAGGCTAATGTCCAAGCCCTCTCTTTCTCATTAGGACTCTCGTCACTATTACATTGTACAAGCTCCCATTAATGGAGTATTGAGCTAAGTCTAAAAGAAGGAGGAAGATGAAGCTAAAAGAGGATCATTTACATGGAGGCTAAGCTCCCTATTTATAGACAAAGGGGGAAAGGGTGCTCTCCACCCTAATGGGCCAAACGGGCCAATATTGGGCCTAATGGGCCGAAATGGGCCTCGCTGCTCGGGCTCCGTACTGGATAATGTCTTGGGCTCCTGAACAGTAATAGGTCGGGATAATATATCCCAACACAAGTCCCCCAGTTTCTTGAGTAGTGAGCGTGCGAATCTGCTCGAGAAAATATACTCTTGCCTGCGCTTTACCTCGGTCTAGCTGGAACCTGTGTCTTCGAATAATCATAATATATGAGTGGATGTCCACACTCCTGAACGTAAGCTGCCGGTGAGGCACCTCCGTTCCCGCCGGGGTCGGGCGAAGGGTGCTCCTCCACGGGCACGCTCCCCCTGAATGCATCAGGCGAGAGTAAAGGACTCTGACTCGAGCTGTCCAATGGAGAAGCTTAGAGGTCCATGCATCTATAAACCGACGTCGCGGTATTGTCAAAACATGATGCACGTGTGTATGTATGAATGTATGAGGTATGATGCATGAATGCATGTAATGTATGGGTGCAATGTATGAGAGAGGGAATGCAAGATGTGATAGGAACGGTAGCTCTCAACGATAAACCGGGCATGTCAGCGCCGAGGGGCAGACGTGCTGCATAAGAGACGTTCGTCGCCCTCCTGAAAGGGATGGGCGACCCTAACGTGAGCCAGACACGATGGCGCTGGGGCGCTAATCGTGCTGCATAAGAGACGTTCGTCGCCATCCTGGAAGGGATGGGCGACCCTAACGTGAACCAGATGCGATGGCGCTGGGGCGCTGATCGTGCTGCATAAGAGACGTTCGTCGCCATCCTGGAAGGGATGGGCGACCCTAACGTGAGTCAGACACGATGGCGCTGGGGCGCTGATCGTGCTGCATAAGAGACGTCCGTCGCCATCCTGGAAGGGATGGGCGACCCTAACGTGAGCCAGACACGATGGCACTGGAGCGCTAATCGTGCTGCATAAGAGACGTTCGTCGCCATCCTGAAAGGGATGGGCGACCCTAACGTGAGCCAGACACGATGGCGCTGGGGCGCTAATCGTGCTGCATAAGAGACGTTCGTCGCCATCCTGAAAGGGATGGGCGACCCTAACATGAGCCAGACACGATGGCGCTGGGGCGCTGATCGTGCTGCATAAGAGACGTTCGTCGCCATCCTGAAAGGGATGGGCGACCCTAACGTGAGCCAGACACGATGGCGCTGGGGCGCTAATCGTGCTGCATAAGAGACGTTCGTCGCCATCCTGAAAGGGATGGGCGACCCTAACGTGAGCCAGACACGATGGCGCTGGGGCGCTAATCGTGCTGCATAAGAGACGTTCGTCGCCATCCTGAAGGGGATGGGCGACCCTAACGTGAGCCAGACACGATGGCACTGGAGCGCTAATCGTGCTGCATAAGAGACGTTCGTCGCCATCCTGAAAGGGATGGGCGACCCTAACGTGAGCCAGACACGATGGCGCTGAGAAGCCGATCGTGCTGCATAATACGGTCGTCGCCATCCTGGAGGGAATGGGCGAGCCGAACCGTGAAGCCAGGTACGATGGCGCTGAGGGGCCGATCGCACTGCATAAGACGTTCGTCGCCATCCTGGAGGGAATGGGGCGATCCGAACGTGAAAGAGACACGATGGCGCTGAGAAGCCGATCGTGCTGCATAGGACGGTCGTCGCCATCCTGAAGGGAATGGGCGAGCCGAACCGTGAAGCCAGGTACGATGGCGCTGAGGGGCCGATCGCACTGCATAAGACGTTCGTCGCCATCCTGGAGGGAATGGGGCGATCCGAACGTGAAAGAGACACGATGGCGCTGAGAAGCCGATCGTGCTGCATAAGACGGTCGTTGCCATCCTGGAGGGAATGGGCGAGCCGAACCGTGAAGCCAGGTACGATGGCGCTGAGGGGCCGATCGCACTGCATAAGACGTTCGTCGCCATCCTGGAGGGAATGGGGCAATCCGAACGTGAAAGAGACACGATGGCGCTGAGAAGCCGATCGTGCTGCATAGGACGGTCGTCGCCATCCTGAAGGGAATGGGCGAGCCGAACCGTGAAGCCAGGTACGATGGCACTGAGGGGCCGATCGCACTGCATAAGACGTTCGTCGCCATCCTGGAGGGAATGGGGCGATCCGAACGTGAAAGAGACACGATGGCGCTGAGAAGCCGATCGTGCTGCATAAGACGGTCGTTGCCATCCTGGAGGGAATGGGCGAGCCGAACCGTGAAGCCAGGTACGATGGCGCTGAGGGGCCGATCGCACTGCATAAGACGTTCGTCGCCATCCTGGAGGGAATGGGGCAATCCGAACGTGAAAGAGACACGATGGCGCTGAGAAGCCGATCGTGCTGCATAAGACGGTCGTCGCCATCCCTGAGGGAATGGGCGAGCCGAACCGTGAAGCCAGGTGCGGTCCGTCTTGGCTGGCTATGAGAAGCCGATCGTCTGCCAGGACTTCATCCTGGGAGGAAGGGTGGACCTGGGCGTCGTCCCTCTGTCTGAACTGGGGAGCCAGTATTGTTTGTCCAAGGAAAAAGAAAGTCTGATGTTAGCTGATCGTCGTCGGCCACTTCATTCTTCGTACTTAAGTTTTGTAATTATTCTTTACATATGTTTTCCAGTTTGTACTTCCCGGCCAATAGCGCCGAGGGATAAAATCATTCTTTGCTCCGTGCTCTTCTGGCATCTTTTTTTTTTTTTGGAGTCTTTTAGTCTTCGTTCGTCCTTGGTTCTTGGTCCTACCGGCGTCCTTACTTCGAAGAGACGTCCGGTATCCTCGAAACTCGCAAGGAGGAACAGGTTCATCTACATCGAGATTCCCCCTTTTTTTGTTCGTCCGTGGTCCTTTTAGTCTTACCGGCGTCTCTTGCTTCGAAGAAGACGTTCGGTACCCAAGGAACTCGCAGGGACGAACTGGTTTACCCTCACGGGTTCCCGGCTTTGTTATCCCACGCCCATCGATCCATGGTCGTTGTGGGATAAACAGGTTTATCTTGGCAAAGCTCCCTTGGTTCGTCTAGCCCCCTCCGCGTCTCTACTAACCTCTACATCGAGAGGCGTTCGCCTTCGGCGGTGGGAGAAGATCTGGCACGCCCGGGCAAGATTCCCTTCCACATAGGAGCTCACCTCCTCTTCTCCCCATCTTTTTTTTTTGAGGGAGGCAATTTATATTCTTCGTTCGTCCTTGGTTCTTGGTCCTACCGGCGCTCTTGCTTCGAAGAGACGTTCGGTATCCGCGAAACTCGCAAGGAGGAACAGGTTTATCTACATCGAGATTCCCTAGCTCTTCTTTGTCCGTCCCTGGTCTGTGGTCCTACCAATCTTCCTACATCGAAGAAGACATTCGGTATCCAAGAAACTCGAAGGGATCACGGGATGTCACACATAATGGTGGTGGCATAGCGAACGAATATAATGACGAGGCGATAGAATAGCTGGTCGTCATGCGAAGGCGATGGTCACCCTCCTGGAGGGGAGTCGTGAGCCCGATCGCAAACTCAAGAGGGTCGGCATTGGGAGCCGACAAACAATGATCATAATGTCGCTGAGCAGTCGGTCCTGATAAGGAGATGACGATAGTGTCCGATCAGGCCGATATACCCGAGTAACGGCTCTCATCCACGCAGCGCGGGGACAAAGCCGGTCTTCAAATATGATAATCACACCGTGCCGAGAGGCCGGTCGTGATATGATGGCGTCAATTGGCCCTCGGCCGTGACGGTCTCCTCTAGGCCTTCGGCCTCTGAATGATGGATGATCGTCTCACGGTTCTCTGTCATGGCATTCGCCTCTAGACCCTCGGCCTCTAGGTGTTCTTCCTAGGCCATCGGTCTCTGGGGTGGAGATGCCCGTCCCACGGTTCTCGACTGTGGTGGTCTCCTCTAGGTCCTCGACCTCTGGGTGGAGATGCTCGTCCATCGGCTTCAGCCGTGATGGTCTCCACTTTAGCTGGCCCTGAACGTCTTTGAGACTTAGGCCGAGCGTCTTTTAATCACTTCGCTCGAGCGCGTCGAGCGGGTTCAGCTGCGCAATAAGCATGGTAATGGGTCGCACGGCCCGACAATAAATATGCACACATAACCATCTGCATGGCTTCCTCCTTAACATCCACGATTACCGGCCTATGGGTCGTCGTGACCCCTGGCCCGGCTCATCGTGCGGGGTTAATGGACGTAGCGGCTCGCGGCGGGGCCGATTGGCAGCTCGCCGAACGTCACATAGAGATATTCATCGGTCTGTGAGTTTTCAAACTCAGACCCAAGTTGGTCGCACTGCCCTCGGAAAAACGAGGTTGAGTGCTTTGGTGCCCTCGGGCCCATAGGCCACGTTGGAAACAATTACTTCGCCCGTCATGGCGTGGATGGTACTAGGGTACGATCGTCGCACGAGCACTTTGTGCCGCGCAGACTAATGTGTAACCCCCAAATTAAAATGCGTCATCGGGGCACTACCCTTTTGAGACGCTCAGATCGCTTAATCAAGCTGATCGAGAGTGGGCCAACAGGCCCACAAGAAATTAAATATTGGGAAAACTGTCAAATAGATCCTCAAACTTTCATAAAAAGGTCAATTAAGTCCTTCTATAGGAGGTTCTGCCCGGCCATCGCGATTTGGGGCAGTTCCCGATGGGGTTTTTTGATGAAATTTTTTTAGCATCTTATTCACCAAGTCTAGTTTACTCATACCAAATTTCAGCTAAAAATTCAATCGGGAACACATTCAAATTAATTCTTGAAGATAACTGCGCATTTTTGCGTTCTCGAATTAATTTGAATGCGCTCCCGATTAAATTTTTAGCTGAAATTTGGTATGAGTAAACTAGACTAGGTGAATAAGATGCTCAAAAAATTTCATCAAAAAATTCCACCGAGAAGCGCCCCAAATCGCGACGACTAGACAGAGTCTCCTGTAGAAGGACTTAATTGACTTTTTTATGAAAGTTCGAGGATCTATTTGACAGTTTTCCCTTAAATATTCAATAAAATGTTGGCTGAACCAACCATCACCAGAGCTTCGCTCCACATAATTTAATTCGGGACATTTTACCCCTAATAAATAATAGAAATATAACAGGCAATAGCAATGATGTTATCCTATCAAAGGCCATTCCGGTATGCTCCGCCCGCTAATTAAAGCCGATCAGGAGTGGGCCCACAGGCTCACAACAACCAGTCATTAAATTTAAATGACGGTGAAACTAATTATCACGTAGAGCATCGCTCTCATTATTTAATTTCGGGAATTTAAATCCCTAATAAATAATGGTGATAAAAATACTAGGAGCAAGAAAATTACTCTATACCATCAATAAATAATGTACCAACTTAATGGATGGGTACTTAGCTTTATGGAGGTTCGGCCATGTGATGCCATGTAGTAGTGAAAAATGAGCTACTTGAGTATTTCCCCCCATCTTGACTTGGTCAAAGCTCCTCCCATAAAGTTGGCCCCCCATTGCTTGGCCCTAGACTTGCGGACGTGGTCTGCCTTAGACCAAGGCATTGTATACGGAGCATATCATTTAGACAAGGCAGGTGGAGCACCCTCCTACCAATCCGGACGCAATTCGTACTTGCCGACCACTTCCTGCCGGTAGAGATGGTGGTCGCGGCAGAGCAAGGACAGCCCGGGCGGCTAGTCTCTAGTACCTTCCGTGAGCTATACACCACTGTTAATGGCCGGAATCCCAGAACTCCCAGCCGGGAGGTACCCCGAGTCACGTCGGCAGGGTGGTGGAGGCTCTCACGGCCTCAGAGCAGGTGATGGAGTGGCCTGCAGTCGGTGAGCAACTGTGTTGCAGGTGCTGCGAGATCTGGAGTGCTGCAGAGGCTTCGTTGGCTGCAGGTGAACACAGTGGAGGGTCCACGGCGGTCGGGGATGGTGACGGCGGCTCCGGTAACTCCAACCCAGACCTGAGAAAATCCAGATTTGGACTTCTCAGAATCCATAGCTTCTCCTCTCCTCTTCCTTTCTTCTTGCTCGGTCAATTGAGCAGGTGCTGCTGGCAGCCACATTCTTGCCTCAGATCCGGAGCTTCCCAAGGCCAAAGCTCCAGAATTTTTCCTTTCTTTTTGCTGAAATCATTTTTCTTTCTCTAGAATTTCTTCTTCCTTGTTCCCAGAATCTTCTTCCTCATTTCTTTGTTGAAGTTCGTCCTTCGTATGAATTTTGTTGTAGAAACTCATAACAGTAGAATAAATGAATCTTTTTGGACAAATTCCCACAGACGGCACCAGTGTTGAGTTTAATCCAACACGATATAATAAATATATGTATGAACACTCGGTTTTTACGTGGAAACCCAAAAAGGAGAAAACTACGGGACTTTTTAGGCTAATGTCCAAGCCCTCTCTTTCTCATTAGGACTCTCCTCACTATTACATTGTACAAGCTCCCATTAATGGAGTATTGAGCTAAGTCTAAAAGAAGGAGGAAGATGAAGCTAAAAGAGGATCATTTACATGGAGGCTAAGCTCCCTATTTATAGACAAAGGGGGAAAGGGTGCTCTCCACCCTAATGGGCCAAACGGGCCAATATTGGGCCTAATGGGCCGAAATGGGCCTCGCTGCTCGGGCTCCGTACTGGATAATGTCTTGGGCTCCTGAACAGTAATAGGTCGGGATAATATATCCCAACAGATATAGTGCAGAGCACTTCCATTGATTAGCAAAATATCTGATTCCTCTAAATCTCAAAGAATTATGAAACAAAGCTCTCACTGTCAAAATTTGAGCATATGAATTAAAGAGAAAAATTACAGAAAACAAAAGCATACCCTTAGGGCGCCGATGTGAAAAATATCTTCCAAGCATAACATTATCTCTTGTAAATATGATGGCGTTTTCCTGAATTCTTTCCTCTACATATGATATTTAGAAAATAGTCATATGCTAAAATATGTGAGTTTTATGAATGAGTTATATAACAACTCAGGAACCCATCTGATTGAATTAATCTAAACGGGCAATCGATATAGTGCCGAGCACTTCCATTGATTAGCAAAATATCTGATTCCTCTAAAGCTCAAAGAATTATGAAACAAAGCTCTCACTGTCATTCTAATTAAAGGTGAAGCAATCACAACCAAACTGAAATCTTTAAGCTTTCAATTGCTATAACTTCTAAAATTCAGCCGTCACGTCAAGGTGACACTCTACCGCTGAGTTATATCCCTTCTTTATTCTTTAACAACTTGGAGCCAGGCCTTTTTTTTGCACTACTATGTATGCTTTCATTAACCTTTTTTGCCTCTGGGATATGTTAGAAGATCTCATTCATATTTAAAAGTTTAATTACCATCCTATTAAAACAGTTTTTTTAAATATTTTGATTAAAACAGTTTTAAAAAACCAAACAAAATCTGGGCATATGAGTTAAAGAGAAAAATTATAGAAAACAAAAGCATACCCTTAGGACGCCGATGTGAAAAATATCTTCCAAGCATAACATTATCTCTTGTAAATATGATGGCGTTTTCCTGAATTCTTTCCTCTGCATATGATATCTAGAAAATAGTCATATGCTAAGACAATACAGAAGTAACCATATAAATTGTGTATGCAAAAAGAGGCACCACGCATTGTAAATACAAATCAACGCATGGAACTTCTTATTGATGTCACAAATATGATTATGTAACACCGCCCCCAAGTATTTGTACTTTATCAAATGATGTAAACCCCGAGAAATGAATAAACGCATCTTACGTGATTGTAAATTTTATCATTTCTTTTACGTGAATAGTGAAATTCACGTGGGGCCCACACCGGGAGTGGGGGCCGCCCGATATTATCGGGACCACATATTATATTCGTTTGGGTCAAGATAATATGTGTATAATGGTGGATAGCCTGGTTGGGCCATAGAAATTATGTGAGTAACCATTTGGGCATATAAAGCCCATTTATCGGTACCGAAGAAATAACAGATAAAAAGCCATAATAAATTATGGGGACCCTTAAATTAAAGTTGAGGAATATATATTCATTCTAATAGCCAATAATCATTGGAAGAGTGATAAATATTTCATTTGACCCGATAAAATGAAATATAGTTAAGACAGTCCGGAAAATACAACTTTCGGGACCAAGTATATACTTGGGGACACAAAAGGATGACCACCCATCAAAGTGGGGATCACCCCACGTTTTTTTCAGCCTTTATGTGGGAGATTAGTCTGCAAATGTGGACTTTGGATGGGAGAGCCGAGCTAAGGGGGGAGGCTGAGACAAGAATGGACTCCAAGAGTACCCCTCACCTCTCATCATTGACTAATGAGCCAAAATAGACTCCCATCACCCCCCTGCAGCCATCCATTCGGATTAGGCATCAACCTAGGTGAGATAAGCTCTGCAAATCACCTTACTCTTCATTCATTTTCGCACCAAGAGCAAGGAAGGAAAGAGAGGAGAATAGAGGGGTGGTTGAGAAGGAAAAATCTGGGATAATAAGGTAACGACTCCATTAATCACATTTGTATTCCTTAATCCTCTCCTATGATTATATAATCATATGTTAAACACCCCTAGATGCGTTCTACACATATAAAAGTGTAGGATGGGAGTTGGAGAGTTGGTCTAAACCCAAAACGAACTTTGAGAGCAAAGTTGACGGGTTGCCGGAAAATAACCTTTTAGAGGTTAGTTGTATTGGTATGGGTTTTATGATGATAAAACCTTGTTGTTAACTTGTATAAGGTACTTCAAGGACTTTCACGGAGTTGAAAGGGTCGCCGGAGTTGTCGCCGGAGTTAGTTGAAGTTTGCCGGAGTTTCACCGGAGCTCAATAAGAAGGGCTAGAACTTCATAAGCTTCTTTTAAGGTGAGAAGACGGCTATATGCTTTATAACTTTTGCGTGAGGCATGAGATTACCTAAATTAATCAAGAACATGTTTTATGAATTGATTAATGGTAGTGAAGTATGTGTTATGTCATGATAGAAACCATAACATAGTTGGAAAGCATGAAATGTAGGTTTGATTAGTGAAATTAATATAAATTGATATGTATGATGTTCCAAGGGCCAAAACAGGTATTTTTGGATCAAGGACTTCAAGTAGTACATGCATGTAAAATTTCACGTTAATCGGACTCCGTTTGGGCGGTCAAACGGGCGTTGACCGCCAAGTCAACTATAATACCCGACCGGGTATTGGCAAATACCCGACCGGGTATTTGCTGAAAATCTGCCCCGAGGGCTGCTGTCTCCTATACTCGATCGAGTATGGATAGGTACTCGATCGAGTATGCATGGAAAATTAGCCTTACGGGCAGCTGTCTCCTGTACTCGACCGAGTATAGGTGGGTACTCGATCGAGTATTGGGTTATACTCAAAACGGGTAGTTTTTGAGTAGGTTAACGTGGACCGATCAGGTGGGACCCGTCCACGTTGGTTACTAAGGATTGTTACATGACTATAGGACTAGGTATTGTCCATAGTTAAGTGAATGAAAGATTAGCCATATCCAAGTTAGGGTTGGTAAGGAATAAGGTTGAGGTTGAGTATCCTCGGGACGGTAAACGATCCCAAAACTCGGTGAGGTCGAGTATCCTCAGGACGGTAAACAATCCTAAAACTCGGTGAGGTTGAGTATCCTCAGGACGGTAAACAATCCTAAAACTCGGTGAGGTTGAGTATCCTCAGGACGGTAAACAATCCTAAAACTCGGTTGAGGTTGAGTATCCTCGGGACGGTAAATGATCCTAAAACTCGGTTGGGGTTGAGCATCCCCGGGACGGTAAACACTCCCGAAACTCGGTAGGATATTATGAAAGTAGAATGTAGCTTGTGAGCTAGGCATTCAGGATGAAAGGGGAAAGGTTGGGTAAGTACCTTATCTCTAAAAGACTTTAGTGAGGAAGCGACCTACGGGTCAAGTATTTTACAAGTATATACAGTATGTATTATCTTGGGAATGGGGTAACAATGGTTACACCTATATATTTATGTATCATCCTATTTTTGGGTCTCGTGTCTGAAACATTAGTTATTCCTCATATAGCCTGCTTGTCACTAGTACTTCTTTCTGTGAAGTACTGACCCCTCCGGGGGCCCTCACTATTTTTCAGGTTAAGACTAGAGTCCTGCTACCTGCACCTTTGCATAGGGTGGACTTCGAATAAGGAAGACTTGGTTCGTGCTTCCATTCTTATTTGACTTATGAAAATGCTCATAGATATTTGAACAATGTTTTCTATTAAACTATTGAAGGGCCTGCGTGCTCATGTTTGCCACGTGTGGCTAATTACTAAACATATTTTACTTCCGCATTTGTTTGAGTAATATATTGATGTTGATTGTATGAGTTTACTAATCGGTTTGGCAATAGAATCTATCGGACACCTTGTACGATTTAATAAGGATGAACTACGTTGTTCTTATTGAGTTGTACGGCGGTTGTCTACGTGGCACGGATGCGGTCCGGGGCGTGACAATTAAATGGTATCAGAGCCATCAATTTCTAAACTATATAATTAACCTCTCAATATAGCATCATCAAAAAAAAAGTTTTGAATAAAACCATGAGCAAAAGTTTTTGTACTTAAGGAACCGTTGGAAACCAAGTTATTGACCTCTTATTGTTAAGACGGTACCCTTAACAGTTTGTTGGCCATAATGTTGGACCAAGTGGTGTCTTTTGTACTATTCCGTCAATTGACATTGATACGAGTCTAACGGCTCATTCCAAATTTCTTTCAGAAATGGAGGGTAGACGCATGGCTACGAGGAACAACCCGAGAGGGAAAACTCCGGTGACGTCCGAAGGGGCTAGCCAGGTTGCATCTCGGGGCTCGAGAGGCGGTAGAAGAGGCCGTGGAGGCCGTGGAGGCCGTGGAGGCCGTGGAGGCCGTGAAGGTCATCGGGCTCAAACCGTGAGCGATGGCCATGTTAGCTCGGTGCACGGAACTCACACCAAGGATTATGACTCTACATATGTTCCCGAGACGGAACATGAGGAGACCCCATACGATGGGGGTGACACATACACTGATGAGGACAATGATGAAAGTGATGCCAAATTCGCCCAGATGGGTGAATTGTTTGAGTGGTATCAAAAGGAAAAGCTGAGGAGAGATCTTAGGCGCCAAGCTAGGCGTGCCTCTCAGGGAGTTTCGGGTCAGGGAAGCCGGGGGGCTTCAGTGGCCATTCCTGTGGCGACGCAGGGGGTACAGGGGGGAGGTTTCTGTGTAAGAATCTCCAAATACCTCAAGGAGGCGAGGGCCTTGGGGTGTAAGTCATTTGATGGCAAGGGTGACATATCTGTGGCTGCTGACTGGATCAAGAAGCTAAATGAGGCTGCTAGGGACATGCAGATCGGGCTTGACATAAAGCTGACGGTTGCCATCAGACTACTGGAGGGAGTGGCTGCTGTGTGGTGGGAAGGCGTGGAGGGAAAGTTCCACGGCGAAACCACCTGGGAGAAATTCGAGGTGGAGTTTTATAATCAGTACTATTCAGAGTTTGAGAAAAACCAGAAGAGGAAGGAGTACATGACTTTGACACAGGAGGATGGTTGCTCGGTAAGGCAATTGGAACAGAGGTTCTGGGACTTGGCACGATACATACCTGAGTACGCCATGGATGAGAACCGTATGGCTAATCACTTCTGGGATACCCTACAGTTGGATATCCGTG